ACTGCAGCAGAGCAGCAGCAAGGTGCAGCCCAGCAGCAGCAATCGACTCCAGAAGAGCAGCCAAAGGCAGAATCAAACAAAACAACATCCAAGGCCGATGCGGTATCGCCCCAGGCTGATGCTACTGCTGCTGCTTCTGCTGCTGCTGCTGCTGGTGCTGGTGCTGCTGCTGCTGGTGCTTCACCCTTGGCTAAGCTGCTTGCCCGTCGTCTACCGAAGCACTCGGGTTCTTTTATTGAACGTTCGCTCCCTGACGGCACCACAATCATTGTCAGCACTGAGGACGGTGGCGCTGCAAGGCCCAAGGCGAAGCCCCCCAGCGAGGGCGGGTTGCTGTTGCCTCCCCCAGCAAAGGGAGAAGAGGGCCCCAAGAAGGGGGGGCCCCACCACCCTTCGAATAAACATGAAGAGCTCAGACTGCAGCAGCCCCCAGATACAGTGCAGCAGCCAGACAGCCGAAAGTCACCACCACATACACGAACACCCAAACCCAAGCCCCCCCTGGCTATCTCCTCTACGCCGCCACCGCCCACCAAACCCATCACTCAACCAACAGACACCCCAAAGACTGATGAAGAAAGAGAGGTCACCTCAGCGGCTCCCCGCACAGATTCTGATAGAGAAAAGCAGCAGGAAACACAAAAAGAGAAAACTGCTCACAAACAAGACACAGAAACACCTGAAACTCCGCCAAAGACTGACACTGCCACACCAGCCAGTCCTGTAGGGGCGAAGGCTGCTGGGGGTGGTGAGGATGCAGCGGCGGTGGAGAGCAAGAGCAAGGCGACGGAGGGCTCGCCGGAGAAGACGAGCGAGGATGAGGGCAAGGCGAAGGCTCCTGCGGCCAAGCTGCCACTGCCTTCGAAGGCAGCGCCTGGCGCCAAGGGGCCTCCGCCTCCTCCCCCCAAAGCCTTGGGGGCCAAGGCGGTTCCTTCTGTGGCTGCTGGGGGTGCTGCTGGGGGTGCGGGTGAGGATGCAGCGGCGGCGGAGAGCAAGAGCAAGGCGACGGAGAGCTCGCCGGAGAAGACGAGCGAG